TATTTTTTTTTATTCTTAAACGAACATTTTAACTAGTTAATAATCGGTGTATTTTATATCGCTGTAATATTATTGTATCTTTGGTCTATCGTTTCCACTTTCTTTTTGTGATTATTGAGTTGAGCAAAAGTTAACTTCTTTCCGATCGAGAAAATTAGTTTTATTTACAAGTATGGCAGAATCAGAAGAAATTCAGCGTCATTTGAGAGGTTTGTGTGATTTAAATTTGCTAAGTTTGCGAAAGTAAAAAATCTAATAAATTTCACATTAACACTTTTACATTTTTTATGTTTTAATTCCTTTTTTAAAGATTTAATTGTTATTTTTCATAATTTCAAATCTCTTCAGTCTTTACAGTTACACTTTACAGATATCAGAATTTTTTCTCAATTGCTCATTTTACTTATTTACCTGATATTCATGTTTCATTTTCTTTCTTTTTTCTACCTAGAAATGGTTTATTTTTCAAATTTTAGTTGGGTGCTGTTGAAGTTTAGAAATCACATTCATTAGATAAATTTAATTGATTGATTGAACATACTTAAGTATTTAAATATTTATTCTTTCCAGAAAAAACAGGGAGTTTTATATTAAAAGCACCCACAAATTTAAAATCAGAAATCTGGCAGAAATTTCACATGGTTTTTCAAAAAAAGGAAAATGATGATAGCGAAATTCCTGTGAATTACTATTGTGCTTGTATTAAATGCAATAAGGTATATCAGTTTTTTAAAGATTCATCAGGTAAAAACTTTGGCACTAAAAATCAGCAAGAACATATTAAACATTGTGCTTTAGTCTTGCCAAAGTCACAGTTGAAAATCCAGCAATGCTTGAAACGAAAAATTCAACTGTCTCCTCAAGAATTAACGATGTTGAAGCATAGGCAGATCTTTTTCTGTGTTGATGGTTACCACTCATTCAAATCTGTTGAAAATAAAGGGCTTCTCAATTTGATGCAGAGCTGTGTTGAGTTAGGTGCCAAATATGGAAAGTTTGATGTTTCTGACGTTGTTGTGGGAAAATATTAGTAACATTTAATTTTTAATTAATTTTCATGTTATTTTATTACACTTGCAGTGTGATTACTTCACCAGTGTGTTTTATTACACATATGATCTTGTATTTTTGAGTTCTGCTTTTTAAATATCATTTGTAAAAATTTGCCTGTTTGGTAAAATTGCGACTCGTGCAGATGGGTCGTGGGTTGGGTCGGGTTGGGTTGAAAAGTTGCATTTTCAGGCGGGTTGGGTTGGGATGGGTTGAGTTGAGTGATGGGTTGGGTTGGGTCAGTAAAAATGGACCCATGTCCACCTCTGATCAAAAGTAAATTAAATAATAAAATGCAACAAAAATTATACAATTTAAATTTATTAAATCAATTGTTTTATTGATTTTGCTTCTAATAGATTACATCAGAAGCAAATTCTACAACCTTAGTTTTATCTTTATATATATATATTCACCCAAAAACTTTAGTGAGAAAAATCGAAAAAACGAACTACAAACATATTAACGCCAAACATTCGGTAGAATTTATAAAATATAGTAAATAAATATATATATAAGATAGATGAAAGATAAATTTATAATTATGAAAATCAAACATTTTGCAGTTATACAACAAACAAAACCGAAATCCATAAATAAAAAAGTAGGACTGATCTAACTAAAAGTTAATTACTAATTATAGCAAGATAGATATTTTATAATCAACAAGCAAGAATATAAAAATATACATGCTCATGATCTAGCACCTTCAGGATTATATATTTTATAAATAGTAATGTTAAACTAAAAATCATTTAACATTACATACTAATTCTATTAAAAATCAACAGTTGTTCAATTTAAATTAAAAGCATAATGAATTTCATGTTAGCTTAATATTAATTAAACTATTATTTTTTAATAATGTCCATTACAGTTGAAATAGTTAAGTTAAAGAATTTGATTTTAACAAATATAATTAATAAATATTTTAAAGTTTGAAAAAAAAAAATTGTTTGCTTTTACTATCTAAATAAATTTCAAAAACCTCCTCTGTGTATTTTGGTTTGGGTATGTTATTTTGAAAGCAAATATTCCTTTGTATTGTAAGCTTTGGGGTGTTGAAAGATTCTAGTTTAGGACATATGCACAGGAATTACTACATCTTAATTTAAAAATTATTAGTTGATTAATAATTTATTTATAACAATATAAATTGATTATGAGTTATATTTTTTAAATATTAATAACATTTCATTTTTACAATAACATTTTTACCGACTTCTTTTCGTTTTCTAGATTATAATTTGATTTATGAATGATTCTTACTCTAATGAAATGATATGTCCATCATCATCGTGATTCGTGGGTGCTGGGAAAATGAATGAAGAAATCTTTATTTCAGAAAAATGAGGATCGCTAACGAATAAATCTTCGATTTTTCTGATGCACCAAAAAATGGCAATATCCATTTAACGATTAAATACGGTTATATAAACCTTATAAAATAAATTAACCTAAAACTTTACTGAATGTTGAAAACGAAATAAATTTCAACAAACGAGCTGTTTATTATTGTTTATTATTATTACTATTTTAATGTATGGTGCCGACGAAATAGTTTACGGTCCGACTGTAAAGAATGTTTATAAAGATTTCGTTTGATTTACTTAATTTTATTTCAAAAAAATATAACAACTTTTTCTCAATATTTTAAAACTTTAATATTTTAAAAATTAAACTAAAGTTTGAAAAAGGGATTTTGTTTCTCAAAGCTCTCAAAAATTGTTAGACACAAATATTTATACATTGTTTGAAAGCAATTAATATAAGCATATATGTAAAATATGTAAAATTTATAATGTTAAAAACCAATTAATATATGCATACATACACATATATATACACATATTTACACACCCATACATATACTATACATACTTACATTTATAAACACACATACTCAGGCCCGGTTCCAGACATTTGGCGGCCCTAGGCAGAGCTACATCTATGGTGTTGGCTACTCTACCGATATATGATATATGATATATCAATGTCAGTGACTTGGAGGAAAAACTTATTTTTGTTTTTTTGTTTTTGTTTTTTTTCTAGTTTTTTTATATACGTATTGATATTACATAATATATAATATTATTTTTGAACCTATATTTTATCCACCCATATTTTACCTAGTTTATTGGATAGGTTCTTACAATTTTTATAAAAAATATTTTTCCATATTTAAAAATAGAATTCAAATTATTAAA